ACCGATTTTTGTATTCGTACGAAACAGAAATTGTCCAAAATCTTTTACATGAAAAGACTAAGTATGCTATATTCTCCTGGCGGTATAATATCTGACTCTTTAGACAATTTTTGTTTTGTTCATTCTTCTTATTTATGGAAATTATTGATATCAAAGTCAATTCAATAAAACGTGGCTCTCTATTTTTTTTTTATATTCAATATTTACTGTTTAATAAAAATTAAAAAGAAAGTATTTGAAAATTTATATAATATTTTATGTGTTTCAGATATTTGTATAACTTTGAAATACAAAATGTATATTTGTTTATATAATGAAGAATCATATCAGAGTTGGTAATAAAACTTTAATAATCCCCCACCAAAAAGAGCTAGAAATAAGTCAAAATAAAGGATTCAGGAGTTACCTATCTTTTAATGTGCAGTTTATAGAAAATCAGGAATCCGGGTATTATATTTCTCATTTTATGCATTGCGTCTGTAATGAACGCTATTTCCCCCCTGAAAAGTCATTTCCTAGAAGACATTGATTGGAAATCGTTTATAACTTTAAAAGTATATCGCCATCTCGCTTCAAAGATATCTTTCATATATTTTGTTTTTATATTTTCTTTTAAATTTATTACCGAAAATATCCTTCTAGACAAACAAATTGATAGAGACATTATTGCCTGCGGTAACTCTAAAACGCCTTTTAACTCTAATTATTAAAACGTCTTAATTATGTCCTCCTTAAATTTGTAATTTGGGTTTAAATTTATTAAATTTTTGTAAAAATAACAATATGTATTTATTGAATGGAAGATTAGAAGAGGGTAAATTTACTACAACAAAATCAAGTGTGGTCGATTATTGTATATGTAGTGTTGAATTTTTGAAACATATGCAAAATTTTTCTGTACTAGAATTCAATAGGTTATACTCTGATATCCATATGCCACTACTTTGTGAAATAAGTGTGAACTCATATATCTCAAATGATAACTACCAAACTAAAGAAGAAAGTAAGAAAAATAAAAATAATTTTTCGTGTCAGAAGATAAAACCATGGGATAATGAAAAAAGAGAAGAATTTTGTCAAAATATTGATTTAAATGTTCTAAGAAAATTAAAATATGACTTGAGCAATATTGATATCAATGATTTAAATAAAAACCGGGTTAATGAAATCTTTTCAGACACTGCAGGTCTACTGCTTGACTCGGCACGCACAACTTTTGGAATATTTAATGCTCGCCAAACTCACAATAAACTACCACAGAAAAGAAAAGAATGGTTTGATAAAGAATGCAAAATAGCACAAAAAAATATAGGAAATCAAAACGAATGTTTAGGAAATATCGTTCAAGCATCTTAAAAGAAGAAATACGTATCAATGAACGTAAATATAAAAATACTATGGATAAAAGTATGAAAAAACATAGAAATTTGATTATGAAAAAAATTAGAAAACTGAGAAGTAACGATCCAAAAAGTTATTGGAAAATAATTAATAAAAGGCCGAACAACAAAAAATGTGATATTAATATTGATGAATTTTACAATTACTTTAAAAACGTCAATAATGGTGATGTAAATAATGACGAACCACTATCAAATGAGATTAGAAATATATATACTAATGAAGAACTAGACTCAGTGATAACTGAAGATGAGATAAAACACGCAATTGAAAATATTAAAAATAACAAAAGTTCTGGAAGTGATGAAATTTATAATGAATACATAAAATCCTCTGCTAGTATTATGTTACCGGTATATGTTATGTTATTTAATATTGTTTTTAACTCAGCAATTTTACCTGAAGCTTGGATTGTTGGTGATATATTGCCTATTTATAAAAATAAGGGGAAAGACAATGACCCTGAAAACTATAGACCTATAACTTTATTAAGTTGCATGGGTAAATTATTCACATCCATCTTAGCTAAACGATTAAATAATTATGCTGAGCAATATGATATACTAAATGAAAATCAAGGGGGTTTCAGATCAAATTATTCTACAATAGATAACATTTTTACTTTACAATCGCTAATCGAATTATCCTTTTTATTGAAAAAGAAACTATATTGTGCATTTATAGATTTTAAGGCTGCTTTTGACAATGTATGGAGAATAGGACTATGGCAAAAACTCATTCAAAATAATATTACCGGAAAATGTTTTGAAGTTATAGTGAAAATGTACTCTGAAAGTAAATCCGGAATAGCTGTTAATGATATGGTTACTGAATATTTTCCATGCAAAATAGGGTTACGACAAGGGGAAAACTTATCGCCCTTTTTATTTGCTTTATTCCTGAATGATGTAGAATCTTTTTTAATTGCACATAACAATATTGGTGTCTCAACAATATCAAATGAGATTGAAAAAGAACTTGGTGTCTTGTTAAAAATGCTGATTATTTTGTATGCAGATGATACAGTTTTACTATCGGAATCACCCGAAGATTTACAGAATCATTTGCACAGTTTTTTATTGTATTGTGAAAAATGGAAGCTAGAAGTTAATATAGAAAAAACAAAAATAATGATTTTTTCAAAGGGACGTATACCGCATAAAGTTTTTTATTACAATAACAAAGAAATTGAAATTGTTAAACATTTCAAATATCTAGGAATTATATTCTCAACAACAGGCTCATTTATTAAGACAAAACAATATGCTACTGAAAGAGCAACGAAAGCTATGTATGGTATTTTGAAAAAGGGTAACCAATTACATCTTTCTCTTTATGACCAATTGTATTTGTTCGACAAGATTGTAATTCCAATTTTATTGTATGGTTGTGAAGTGTGGGGTTATGGTAATGTTGAAATGATAGAAAGAGTACATTTAAAATTTTGTAAAATGCTTTTTCATTTAAAACCAAGTACTCCAAATTTTATGATCTATGGTGAATTAGGTAGAGTACCTTTAAGTATACATATCAAAACAAGAATTATTGCATACTGGTCAAAAATTTTATATGGAAAACAATCAAAATATTGTTTTTTAATGTATAAATTACTTCGTGCAAAATTTGATAATGGACATGAATCTAAATGGTTAAAGAATTTGAAATCAATTTTAGACAATTGTGGATATAGTAATATTTGGAACCAGAATCAATTATTTAATAGAAATTGGCTTATTAAAAGCTTGAAACAAAAATTACTAGATCAGTTTCAACAAAATTGGAATTCAACCTGTAAAGATTCTTCAAAAGGTGTGACATATAATCTATTTACAAATTTACACTTTGGATGTCAATTTTATGTAGATAGCAGGTTAAATAATTTTATTATACCTCTACTGATTTTTCCCTATATAAAATTAAATGATTAGATCTGAACAATTCCCTAGAAATCGCTGTGAATCGGCTAATCGCCGTGCGTTAGTTTTTATGAGCTAATCCCTCGGTCGAAAGCTAGTCATCCTAATTCGCGGTTATAGCTTTTCATTGTGACGTCATAATAGAGCGACGCAAAAACACAATGCTTCGTGACGTATTTCATGTAACAAAACACAACAAAATAAGACGTAAACAACAAAAAGAATGCAATGATTATATTAAAATAAGGGGTTAACTGTCTTCTAATTTGATATTTGCGACAAAAAATGATTAGTTAATCTATAAATGAATATATTTTTTAAAAAGGTGATCTTTACAATTTAAATTTGTATCGGTATAATAAAACAGTTAAAGTATATATCATTGAGGGAGTTAGCAAGATTCCAGTTCCCCTCGACCAGGACCATTTCCCTCGGCGCGCTGCGCCTCGGGAAATAGTCCTGGTCTTGGGGAACTGGAATCTTGCTAACTCCCTCAATGGTATACTTTAACTGTATAATAAGAAACAAATTTTAGCTAGATTTAGAACAGCAAACCATAAATTACTCATTGAAACAGGAAGATGGGAAGGTATTGAAAGAATTAATAGAATATGTCTTTTATGTAAAAATGATCTTGGTGATGAATTCCACTATATTTTATGTTGTGAAAAATTAAAAGATGAAAGGAAATTGTACATTCCGAAATATTATTTTACAAGACCAAATATTATCAAATTTAATGAATTGTTTTCTTCAAAAAATGTTGGACTATTGAGTAAACTCTGTTCTTTTATTAAAATTTTAAACGAGAGAGTCAAACCTCCAGGTTAACATCAATGTAAACATATATGGAAATACTTGATTATAAGCACACTTTGTATATATGTTATATGTTATGCTCACGCATGTATGTATATATGTTATAATAATATGTATTGATCTCTGTGTTGTTAAATAACAACCAAAGAGATGTTAATAAACTGGTAAACTGGTTGAAATGATCATATAAAACGAACAGTAAGGATCCTAAAAACTCTGAAAAGTTTACCTATTCTCAAGTTTGAGTAGAGAAAAGATGCACCTCTGAAAACATAAGGTGGTATCAGCTGCTGTGGAGGAGAAAGCTAATCATTTTGCTTTTAATTTTATGGTTTTTATGGTCAGATAGCTTCTTATAATAAAAGCCTTTTTTTTTTTACTTGTCTCAGAATATTCTGTTTTATTTGACCTCATGTTTCGCAGTACGTAAAGTTTGATGTGTCTGCATAATTCATTGAAATGACAATGTTTTTGCATTCAATTTATCGAATTATCAATTGTGGTAATCAAATACGATACATACCTATTCAGCTTATTAAATTTTTAGAAGGAATTTGAATAATATAGACAGAGATATGATAAGAATAATTCATCAAATTTATGAAGAATGTTTGAAAACCATAGAGGTTTATACATTCATGATGCATCTTTCCAAGGTAGATTTTGTCGCATTATATTATCTTGTAGATGTACAGTACATTTCATGTTAAGAATTTCAGTTTATAACTAGCATCAAAGTGAAATAAAATTTTGATTCACTACCTTAGATCTATGTCATTTTTTTTATCCGTGCCCAAAGCATATTTTTAAAACTTCTATTCGCAAGATGAAAATAAAAATTGTGTAAAACATGAAAACACTTGATAGATTGAATTTTATTTAATCTTAAAAGAAAATTAACAAAGTAACAATTTTACAAAAGGAATAAGATTTTATTTTAAGCTCTAAAAATAATTCAAATTTAGATTAATATTTAAATATATATATACAATTGTTGATTGCATATGATGTTAAATTTGTGTTGCCTTATTCAAAATCGTTTTGGTAAAGTAATCAAAATCTGCCACTTATTAGCTCATCAAGTTTGATATTTTTAAAAGACACAATGACACATAATAATGTCAGAAAATGCAACAATAAAAACTATTAAAATAAGGAATCAATCATTTCAACTTATGAAAAAGTAATCTGAAATCACAGAATACACAGAGGTTATATATTATGCTACAAAAGAAGGGAAAACAAAATTATTTCACCGAGCATGCTAAACATCAGTAACAGTAGAATTCGGATTCACCGAGACTCCGTGGATATTCTCATTTGATCCCGATATTGTGTAGATTGGATTGGTACATCCACCGATTTCGTCACTGTTTTTCTTGTCATCGCAAATGTCTTCATATACAGGTGGGTCATCACGTGGTTTGTAATCCGGAAGTTTATCTATTGCAGCGACCTCATACGGCGGAGGTTCGGATAAGCATGCGTCAAACTGCTGTGATGAAGCGGTGGCGATAACTGTACCACGAGTCCTTGATGGTCGATTCCTTAGAACCGCGGCTCTTCTACAGAGGCGAAAAACCACCACAAGTATGACCAAAAGAGCGATAGCCATGATGCAAACAACACTTGCTCCTAAAATAAAGATGATAAAGAGTTCGTAACACCTTCCTGACATGTACTGCATTTTAAAACGTTTGCAGGAATCCATTTATATATAAAGATTGAATTTTTTTTTCATTTCTTTTTTTAAATTTCTTAAAATTTCTATTTAGGAAAAAATTATCAATTTAATAATTATTGCTTATAATGTATGATTTGTACTAGCTCTCAATTTGCTAAGTAATTTTACAAAAAAAAAATTCTTCTGTTTAACTGATTTAATACAATTTTTTTAAACAATGCAATGAAATATAAGGATAAAATTGATTATTGTAGAGATTCCAACATACCTATTATAACAGGAGTGTTTGTTGTAACTCTGGACTTTAATTCAGAAGACCATCCGCTCTCAGAGGAGTCTGAAAATCACCATTGGTTTGAAAAGCTAAGAACTTAAATAAATATGGTACAAAATGTACCAAGAAATGGTTAACTATGCTTTTCATGAGGAATACTGTATTTACGTCAATCGTAAATTAAATCTATATTTTATATGCTAAATTTTACAATCAGGTAAATATTTTGATACAATGTAAATTAGATACAGTTTCACTTTTCTTCACATATATTGCATTAAAAAAGTTATCTCGGTCAAATATAACAATTTTATGTTGTGTAGTCCATTTTCAACTAAGCATTTGAAAATGTTGTTCGTAAGCTTAAGATAACTATCGTATCTCATTTACATACCAGCGCCCTTTATACTGACAAGGAACCTGCATTCTGCCTTGTTGCCATGCCAATCTTCAGCAACATAACGAAACATGTGATCACCCGCGTCAATACGCGATCCGTTATGGACTCTAGGCTCTATCCAGAGGTCCCTTATACCCACGTTGTCTGTGGCCTTGGGAATCGTCCAGGATATCCTTTCACCTGCTATGGCGTATATATCCGCGGGGCAGTGAGAAAGTTTTGGAGGATGATGGTCTAAAATTAGATAAAATAGGTCACACATAATTATCTTATAAAGTAGTATACTATTGATACGAGTGAGTTTTTAAGTAAAGCATCGGTAAATGTTCTTAACAAAATATTACTGAATTATAAATGTAAAGCCGAAAATCTCTTGCACTTCTGTCAGGGCTTTACTTTAAAACAAATTTATGATCAAAGTCCAGATGCTTTAATGAAACATGCGCTCAATCTCACCAACAATCTGCACTGTGAAACAACAGGTTGTTTTGCCACCATGTCGATCAACTGCAGTTGCATTGGCCCTAACCCTTTGACCACAAGAACAGTTCAAGGCGTAGAACTTCTGTTGGCTAACATAAACTTGAAGATCTTCTCCAAGATAATCCTTTGCTTTGAATTGGTGATACATAAGAGCTACATTGGAATTCTCCTGCACTTCTACCAATACTCTTGAATATTCTGGTGGACAATTATAAATTCGGGGACCTACATAGTCAAAAAATATAAAAGATAATAGACAGATGAAGATTTTTGAAGTCATTTACCAAAGCTAGAATATTCTTAAGGAAATGTCAAAGCTCAACATTCTGAAACTACTGATAAATCTTCATTCTTGTGAATTGTTTGTAAAAACCTAACATGATTTCAGTAATTAAATGTTAATCAGCGACTTATGTTTATATTTCACTTACGTTCATAGAGCAAGCCGCCATCTTAAATTAAAAAATAACAGAATTCTATGAAGATTAATTACTCATTATGTTTAATGGCCATAACAAAAGAGCATTTAAACATCTTTCCTTTCTATTATTATGAAATAGAAAACTAATACAGAGATCAAAAGATAAACCTGTGATTTCAGAAAATAGAAAGATTACCAGAAATATCTTCTTCAATCTTGTCATTATCTGGCAATATTCCATCCCCATTTTTGAGACACGTGTTCTCTTCTTTATCATTATCATCCTCACAAACGTCTTCACCACAATGAAAATGACCCCAAAAACGCCCCGGCATGCAGCGACACTTTTTACCAAATATATTTACAATTTCACCGACATAACCGGATTTATCCCCATGGTAACATTTTTGGTAGGCTTTCTAAAAGATAGACAGTTTCAGTTGAATACATCGTGTTTTCACATTGTAAAAAGAATAGCAGAGGTATAGGCTATTGCGTCTTAAGATTAGCAAATTTATTGTATAAGCATTGTTTATGATTTAAGATTAAAAAGACTGAAATAAAAGGCGATAACAGAAAAGGTAAAATATTCAAATATATCATATAAACGAGACATTTAAGTTGTTCATGTTGTTTGTACATATGTATACCTCTCTTTTAACTACACAGACATTCCTTCCTTCATGTTCACAGCATGTTTCCTCTTTCTGACAGTCAAAATCGGTCTTGCAGGTATGCAAGCATGAAGTGTCATAATGTTCGTGGACAAAATGGCATTTATCACAACGCCCTATCAAATATTACAACCAGTTATATTAAAGGTAAAAAACTCAAAACTGGAAAAAGATTTAAGAGTAATTATAATCATTTAATTCTATGACTGATATGGAATTAAAATCTTCTTAACTAAACAAATGAAGATTTAATTTATAATAGACTTTAAAGGGGAATAGAGCTGTATGGAAAAGTCTGTATAAAGTGAATGGCCAGGGAAGATGGAACGCCTTACAACCGAAACAGCAAACATTTTATAAATATACATGTGTTATAAAACACATAGGAGCATATTTTATTAATGATCACTATAATGCTTACTTTTTTCACATCGAGGTCCAAGGAAGCCATGTTGACATTTACAAACTACTCCATAATACTGAGAAATACAGGAACCGCCATTTAGACAACCGTCACCACACACAGCTGAACGTGAGTGAAACAAATAATAATAATCATAGACTTAAATCATGTATTAGGAAAAGTTTAACTTTGTACCCAACAAAGACATTGAACCTTCCATAAAAAGTAATTCCTAATTACAGAATCTTCTATGAAATCCTTAGGGTTTAAATATTAATATTTATTTTTTTCAAGATACTGATGTAAAAAGAATATTCCATACTACATTCATTTTGAAATGAAAATCAAATAAATTTAGTGGATTCACAATTTTTGGGCAAAGTATTATGTCACTAATTAGATATTTGCTGAGGCTTATACATGAATATATAAAATATATCTTCATGAAAACATTCATAGTTTTCATTTCTTTTCCAAAAAATATGCTTGAAATATTACTAACCTTTTTCGCAGAAATGTCCCGTAAAATTGGCGGTGCAGATACACTTCGGAGTTGACAGGGGATCGACTTGCCTACATTCCCCGCCATTCAAACATTCTCCTCCACAGATGGCTTAATATTGATAATTTTAATTAAACATTGCTAATTTTGTTTAACTTTATTTCTAAAAATCAAAATATCTACATAAAAAGATGATATATTTAAAACTCATAAATATATAATTAAAAAAAAAAGATTTCATATCATAATCATATTCTGAAGTGATTAGATTTTTACCTGTTTCGCATTGTTTGCCCGAGAAATGAGTTGGACAGAGACACTGATCACCAAATGGTGTCCCACCATTAAGACATTCGATTCCACTACTTTCTGAAACACAGAAAAATATGCAAATACGAATCATCGTGTTTTTATTTGATTGAAAGATTGAATTTTTACAGTGTATCATTTGACGCATAAAATGAAAATTTGTTTAAAAATGTTTAATTTAGCATTTGAATGATACTCCTTGTCTTAAGATTATAAACAGGCTAAAAACATATGAAAATTTCATTAAAAACTTTTGAAAAATACTGATAAACAATCGTTTAAAATTAAAAAAATGCAGAAAGCAAGAAATGTTTTAACAAATACGTCGAAGAAGGATATGGAGATAACGAACAGTATTCGATCTAGAAAACAATACAAAATAAGAGCCGAGCAAACACAGACCTCGGAAACATCAGAGGTGAGATCAGGTGCCATGGAGGAATGAGCATCCCCTACTGACCGGTCACACCCGCCGTGTGCTCCTTGTCATTATCAGGAAATAACGGGTCGTCAATTCAGTGTATAAATAATGGACTAACAATTAGCATGAAAAACTTTAGTCAGGATTTGACTCAATGATAAACTGTATTTGCTGCCAAGGTCATTGTATCGACCATAGAACTTGCAAAATGATGACTTTAAACGAAACTGTTGATATTCTTGTTGCGAATAAAAATTAAGATATTCAGAATCAAATTATTGACTGAAATCTGTCCTCGGTATGGTCTTCGGTCACGATAAAGCAAACCATCACTTCATACATGTATAAATGCATATATATTACGTCATTGCAATATTTGAAGTCTTACCGACTGTGCATCTTCCATAGTCATCCAGCGCCCAGCCACTGCAACACTTTCTCTGGCACTGGTAGTAATGGCACCGAACATTCTTAGACGATGCCCAATCGGGATGTTCGCAAAGATTATATCTGACATACAATGGCATATGTTATAATGTATGAGTAAGAGGTAGAACTAATATTCATAAATATAGAGTCATAAAATTTTGATTAAACATAAGTTGTAGAATATCATTTTTGGGTAATTGGAAATTGTTTTAAAAACAGAGTTGCATGCTTCATTTTTGAAAGTGTTTCTTTTTTTTTTCATTTTTATCAAGTAAACATCTTCCATTAGCTAACGCGCGCTAACACCATAACTTCATTACTCTTAAAAGATAATTTTCTAAAATTTTCTTTATTTTAATTTGTATCTTAAACATTGTTTTAAAATTGTTAAGTAGTATTTTGTTTTTTTCTTTTTTTTCTTTAAATAAAAAAAGCACAGTAAATCTCGTTTAGTACGAACACGGACATAGCGAATTCACGGATATAACGAAGTTCTTCTGGGTCCCCGGCAAAATTCTTAACAAATCTTTGTAAAATTTTACGGTTAAAACGAATTCTGATCTTATTTGCACCATTTGCAACAAAAATGACCTTAAACACAACAATGCATGCATCCATTTTTTTGCATCATCTGTCCCTGACAGACTAAGTGTATGCATGTGAATTAATAGACTTAATAATAAGTGTAATTGAAAGATATACTTTAGTTTCCAAGCAATATCATTTCACTCCTTGTCGTTTTACGGCATATTGTACGCATTATTTTCAATTTTAATCAGGTAAAAATAGAAGCCATGCTCTGCAATTTTCTTCGTTTCCATACTTTATGTTTTAAAAATTCTTGTATTTAGATCCAAATTTAACTGATTAAAAGTTTTTTAAAATTATCTATTTATATATCTTCATTAAACACACTTTGCCTCTTCTTGTATAATCAATATCATATCATTTCAAGCAATATTTTATCCCTTTTATGATCCAATCTAGTTACTTAGCCAGCTGTGTGCGTTCCTATACATGTTGTTTTCAGTTTTCGCACCCCAAATTCACACCTCTGCTTGCATTAAATAAAAAAGGGACTAAACTGTATTTATTGAATACAAAGAAGCTAACCAGCCAGGAAAGCACACTCTTGGATGGTATATTTAGAAAAAAAATTCACTTTTAAATTTCATTTCGTCACTTTAAAAATGCAATCGGCGACCAATGGACATCACTGGTCGAGCACTGTACCCATCTCTTACCCGCAACTCCTCCTATACCACTTAATGAAATTAAAAGATACTTTTACAGATTCTTACTACATAGTGGCGTTGCGTTCCATCTATTTTACTTTTTGATCTAACTATTATTCCGTGTCTCACAGAGAAAAATATGGACTTTGCGTTTATAACCATATGAGAGGCGGGGGTATCAATTAGTGAGCTCAGTGCTCACTGTACCTCTGTTACCTCTTACACATATATCACTCTATTTTTCTTAATTTATATCTTGCATGGTAACTTATCTCTTTAAAAACCAATATAAGTAACAAAAAGAGTTATTTATTTTGTTATTTTGAACAGAGAAAAAGACATGACAGATTATTTGTAACTTTTAACTTAATTCGTATTTGAAGAGCAATTCTGACTATTTTATTGGCTACTATTCACGGGTTATAGGATACCATAAATCATTCTGAATTGAAGACTTTATCAAATCTCTAATGAGAGCGTGTGAATTAAGTTTACTTCTGCCATTTTATTGTCCTATCATATTCTTTTTATGATTTTTTTTCTTTATTTGTTCAAATGTTTCTTCGTTCATTATTCAAATTTTTGTATTTTTGTACTTAGTCATACTCTGATTAAATACTCATAATCATGTTAAATACTCACATGTCTCGGAAGAAGAATTCCAGAGGTCTGGCGTATTCACAGATATAGGAACAGTTGTTACTGGACTGGATCAGATCATAGCAGAAATTTCCCTCTCCCCCTGATTCTGGGCAGTGATTTAATCCCAGGGGTGCCAAAGTTTGATACCTGTAATTGTAAACTGGTGAGGAAATATGGAGTTTATACATTATATGGTACTACAAAGGTTGAAAGCAACTGTATATCCGATATGTATCCAACATTCGAACTTCTAATTAAATATTACAAAAGGGTTTTTCAGACCAAAGTAAAGCTTTTTACGTTTTGAATTAAAAAATAGGAGAAAAAAACATTATCTAATACATATTTTGTGTAACTGAATTTGCTTTATTTTTGAATTGTTATAAATGCATTTAAGGATAAATAACACAAACAAACTCTTTTCAGATATCAGCATTATTTTTCATGGATTTACATTTAAATTGACATCCTGAATAATGTTTACCAAGTAGAGTGAGAGAATTATATAAGATTTTGTCATAAAATTCAAAAATTGTGCAAAATTTTGTATGGAATTATATAGAAGGCAAAATAAAATCTCAAATCTAAGCACCAAGGAAAACCTACGATTTCTTTTTATTTCCGGGATTTATTATTTATGTCATTACAAATCAAAATCAGTCAAAAAATATATATCAACCCGAGCATCTATTTTTTGTTTGTGGTAAGTACCCTTAATTGGACGAAAAAAGTTCATTCAATATACTTTTCTGCATCTCTTTCTTAAAGTAAAGTTTTACTAGGTTCTTAGACAAAATAAAAGATATGAAACAAGTTGCATTTTTTTTTATTGTATTCCTCTAATTTATCAATGATTTCTTTTTTATAGTAATTATTTGTCCTACGACAAAATAATAAAAAAAAAAAAATGAAGTATTTGATCCAAATTGTTTTCTGTATTACACATATTATATACTTCCTTTCTCCTTCAAATCACTGTCTTAAACGTCTATTCAAACACTTTAAAACATGTATTCATAAAAATTGTTATCGGAAAATGATGCATATTTTAAATAAGCTTATCTTATACCGTCGAAGTTTTGACAAAAAAATCTATTTGAGATCGATATCTTATCCAACAAGGTAATATTTGGCTTTTTCGAGGGCTAGTCATAAAAGTGTAAGGAAGTTTTTTAGTATTTGCTTTCAGTTCTTGAATAATACAAGCGGACGGTTATAAACCTGATTGAGCATTTTTATTACGTCTATCAACGCCAGTCACTGTGTGACACAGGGTGGTATATATAAGGACAGTAGAAAATTAAGGTAAATAACCCTCACGATCAGCAAGTACCAGGAAGACTAGGAACGCAGTAATGTAACAAACATGACCCTATCGATCTCAATAAAACAAATAAAGTACGAAGTGATCATTGTTAGGGTGACTATGATATGTGTAAGAAATTAAAAAAATATTATATGATCATATTTAAAATAAACAATTTATAAAAGATGATAATTAAATACGAAGCTAATCGCTGTAGAAATGAAATGAAATATGCTGAATAGCAAAATCTATTTCCTATCTGTCTTGGAAAGTTTGGTGATCCAAACGTTAACGCAAGTTTAATAGATAATATATTAAGTTATCAACTTATGTGGATGTTTTAAAAAGCTCACTTTAGATCTTTAAATAGTCCCACAATATATATATGTATGATATTAGTATAATTATACTTATCATTTCTTAGGAAAACTATTACATTTGTAAAAATAAGATATTAGCCTGTAATTAATTAAATAAAATCTTACCAGTGCAAACTCCATGTACAATGAATAAATGTCAAACCTACGAGTAACGATGCGCTAAACAGCGCCATTTTGTTTGGGTGTTCAGAAATCGATTACATGGAAATATTTAAGATAACGGGCGCTTTAAATTACCTCAGTCAGTTTGACGACATCAGGTAAACCAAAGAATTTGCCAACCTAAATATGCAGCAAGTGATTTTGATATATGCTGCACTGTACTGTTTTTTATTTTTTCATTATCAATAAAATTCCTGTAATGTTTTATAATTTTCATTATCGACATAATTCGGAGATTTTGTAAAAAGCTTAAAAAATAACACAATTATATCAAAATAAAATTTACATGATTCTTTATATTTCTATGCATGAGATATCAAAAAATATATACATCATCCTTTTTTCACAAAAAACCTGTAACTGAAAACATAAATTCGATTTAGAAAAGCTCTGCAGTATAATTGAAAAAAGAAAACGTCTTGTAGTTTGTGTGATTTGATAACTGGTAAAAGCAATAAAAAATTATTGGATTTTCTATTTGCATTCATTTTAAGTCCTAGCAAAACTTTAACCTTTCGACGATAATGATAATGATTTAAAAACAAGACAATGGATTGTAGAAATAGTCTCTTTGGACTGTAAAAAAGTTACTAAAACAAAGTCGCTGCCAAACCTTATAATGTATCATATGTATAGCAGTACATGAGTAAATGAAAAATCGAATATATAATCCAAGTGATTGGATTCTTTGTAGAAGAAAATATTCTTTAAATCGATACATTGACAACTAAATGTGCAAAATTTCTTCACAGTACATACAGCTCCGCACACATTTTAAGCTCACATAATTTTTCGCACACATTAAGGTCATATTCTTCTAGAAATAAAACTTTATATTATCAAACTTTATTTCAAGACATTAGCCTAATATATATTGATTATCTTATGCAATGGTACAGGTTCTGTAAAGTCAGCATCTCAAGTTTTCAAAGTAGATGTTTCAAAGTTGACATTACATGTATTAATCGTATGATGTTTCATCTGTATAATTCTACCATAAAAAATTCACCAATTAAATTTATTGTTCTTTCTTTGAAACTATCTATCTGAAATTTTCAATTAGACTTTTTACAGATTATATGTCAATATATTTCTGAGTACTTTGCATCTTTACCCTACTCGTCTTGGATTTCTTGAAACGTGGCATTGAAAAATAACAATGCTGCTTAAAGAAATTATGCCAAAAGATGGGATATCACAGTATGATTTTATCTCTTAAAATAGCAAACTGTTACTATTGAACAGAAAATTATTTTCCATTAACGGTCTGAAACTTTCAAATTTTTCGATATGGCGTATGTTTCATGATACTAGATTTCAGAAAGCAACTTTTAAAAATGCCAGCTTTTTAACATGTAAAACCCATTAAACTTTTTTTCCACACCAGGTCGCAAATTACATCTCATAAAATAACATATGATTTGTAAGTGTTAGAAATAGCCTCATGATATAAAGTTTGCTTTTGCCAATTTTTGTTAACTAAAATGCTTATGAAAGCAAGTAATCGACGCTCATTTAAATACTTCAGAATCATTTAAATAAAAAAAGCAGGAATTGATAAAAACATACATTTTTCAATTTAATATTAAATTTTATATTATAAATACTTATAATATTTGATAATTGTACGCTTTTTAAAGTTACACTGGTAAAATTTTAACTATCAAAATATTATAATAAAGGCATGCTTCAAATAATGACGTCTAATATTTATTTCCACGTTAAATCAGAAAGTGTGAAGAATAGCATGAGAAGGTTTTTGCAATATTTTATCATTACATCATGGCGTCACTGATAAGGAAGACAGTGGTTTTTGATTGATCAATTTTATTATTCATTCTTTTTACAATCAAAAAATGTAAATTCCGATCTTTTATTAATAGCACACACATGCTAAGAAACATTATCTGCAAGAAAGATACAACAAGAAAAAGTTAAAAATGATGTAGATTTCCCATCCAAAATACCAGAGCTTGGATCAGGTGCCATAGAGAAGTAAGCATCCCCTGCGGATCAAACACACCCACTGTGTGTATCTTGTCATGATAGGGAAATAGCGGAAAGAATCCGTCGGCAATTCAGTGTGTAAATTATGGTCTAACAATTACATGTAAAACGCCACTAAGCATTTACTAAAAAGAACCCAGACCATCTTTAGAATGAATCAAAAATGTTTGCTTGCCCTCTTCCCACTCAGGGTAAAGTAATTGGGTCGGTGGATAGTTGAGGATTTTTTTTTCAGAAAATTTAAAAACGCATTGAGTCGGGCCGATTTTAGTCAGTCTGTCGGGAGAGGGCAACAAAACAATTTTCTAAAGATGGTCTCAAATATCAAATTGTCGTAAAATGTGCATGCACATTGATGAAAACGCCCTTGAACAATATTTTGTCAAAGAAAAAAGAAAGGATGTGTGATAAACTATTCTTGATTATAGGAGGAAACTAGGATTTGGTAAAAGTAATATATTTAACATAACAAAGGTCAATAATTACATGGGTGTAACATTATAAAAAACCCAATACCTTCAGTACATTTTTTCCAGAACTTTATTTTTTATAGTCAAAGAAAAATTCATAGTAAAAGATGTTGTTTTAAAATGTTTGTAATGTCTATTTCCTTTAGAGATCTGAGATATCCTGAGAAATTTTCTGTATTAGTTTTTCCCAGAATTCTTCATAATCCCGTTCGTTTTCTGGGTATTCCAGGTAGCAATCCTGTTTCAGCAAATCCGCTAGTTTACTTGGGTAAGTCCCATTATACACATCGGGCATTAAAATAACAATAACAAAACGAATGCTCCCTCTGTCTTTGACGCCTTCAACTTTTGCCATGTTCAGTTCATAATCGCGCCACTTGGATGTCAGATACCGCTTTGAAACAACACAAACTGCTTTTGAGCTATCTTGTAAGCCTTCCATAATAGAGATGGACTTGGACTCTCCAGGAAGAAAAATTTTGTCACGAATAAGTAGCCTTAAACCCCGGACATTTTCAAGTTGTTGATGCATTTCCGATAACACAAAACTTCTATCACTTCCACAGTATGAAATATATGCGTCATATTCGTAATGTACGGTTGATTGAATGTTTCCATTAAAATTTCCACGATTACGAAATCTCTTTTTGGTTTTGTATATGATATATCGCAAATTCCACCTGTTTTTATAAACGCCAACTCCGCATGATATGCAAATAATGAGTGTTAAAGCAATTGCTGTTGACAAATATATTGAAAGGTAAGACTTACATAGTCTAGTGAGTTTTTCGAGAGAATCATCTAATTTGGAAAATTGAAAACCGAAATCGTTTTCGGAACATTTGTAATTTTCAAGATTCTTAAACGTATATTTATATTTGGCAATCCACTTTAAAAACTTAAGAGACTGACACGAACATGTGAACACATTTCCCGAAAGATCAATCGTAAGTGAGCCTTGTTTGTTGTCTAAAAGTTGTTGAAGTGAGTTCATTGCTGCCTGAGACAAAGAGCTTATCCTGTTGTTTGCCAAGTCTAGGAACTTCAAATTCCTCATATGATTTACGTTTAAGTGAAAATCGGAAAGTTTATTGTTTCGAATAATCAAGGATATCATTTGAACTGTGTGTTTAAAAAATTCTCTTGGTAGATATTCAATTTGATTATTTGAAATATTGAGGATATTCAGTTTTTGTTGACTTTGGAAAATATTTCCCTTTAAATCATCAGCAAAGGACAGACCCAAGATATTGTTCGATAAATTCAGAGTGAGGAGGGAATGCAAATTGATGAAAAAATAACATGTTACTTTATAACAATGATTACTAGAAATGTCTAGATATGTTATATTATCTACACCTAACACAGACCCTTCCCAATCGAAGAAGCTATTATCATGCAGATGAACTTTCCTCAAATTTTCTCCGTGAATACCAAACATTCGTAATTTACCATAAATGTGAGTTGAGTACATAAAAATTTCATTCAGTTTCGGAGGTAAAAAAATTGTTACGAATGTTTTGGATATGTTAAAGTGGCCATTTATACTTTCAATTGAATTATTATAAATGTTGTATAGAAAATGATCATATTGGATATTTCTGGTACACTCATTTTCCAAAACAGTGTCTGCATTTTCTTCACAAGGATCTGCCCAAACAGTTGGGTAAGTTAACCCTTCGTATTGTCTAGATATATCCACTACTTCTAGCCCTGAAAGCTGGCTCAGTTCAAATAAGTATTTTCCTGGAGTAAATCTATTCATTTCCAATTTCATCGCTTTCAGTGACCTTGGAAGACTTCTCAGCACACCTACCTGGAATTGTTCGAGTCTATTAAATGCTCCAGAAAGTTCTACGAGAGATGTATTGTAGAGATTCTGCAAATGGCAATGTCTGAGTATTGTTCCTACTCCCGTGCTGCAGGTTATGGAATCAAATATGAAAGTTTTGATGTTTGTTGTGTCGAACGAATCCGTGACATTTGGTAAAACGCTAAATCCCATCTCGCGGTTACTTGATATATTAAGAAATGACAGATTTGGGTGTTTGCTGAACACTCCTTTCTCGATGTAACGGATATGGCAATGACTTATGTCTACATGTTTCAACGCAGGAAGGTTTTCGAAGAAGCTTTTCGTCACATACCTTATGGAGCAAAAACTGCCAGTCCTTCCAGATATATCAAGATATTGCAATTCCTCTAACTTCTGAGAGAATGTCATGTTTGGAAGGCCATTTATTTTTAAAACTCGCAAAGAAACTAGCTCAGGAATAATCGTTCCTGGAAATTTCCAATGATCAGTTGAAGCTGGACTGTTCTTAATATCCAATTCCTGCAACGATGTCATGTTTCTGAAAACCCCTTCATAAAAATTATGCTTTGTATAACTAATTCCATTGTTGTAGTCTAATTTAAGAATCTTCAGTTCTTTAAATCTATAAAATGGATATCCCTGAAGAGTTTTTATGCAATTGTTTGTCAGGTTCAGAACAATAATGTTTGGTGGAATTCTTTCCGAGTCGTTCGAATTGAATGAACATATTTTATTTTTGCTCAAGTCGATCCAGTTCACTTTCACATAGAAATCGGGAATTTGCTGCAAGGAAATATCGGCACAGTAAGCTTTGTAATATTGCCCTTGCTGTTTACAAACGCATCCCTCTTCTGACGAACAGTTTTGGCTTTGGCTATAAGTTTCTTTCAAAGAAATGGAACACAAAATCAAAATGCTGGTAATTATATTAAAATTTAAGACAAATCTTGAAGACATTTCCTTTTAATTTTCTTTGCACCTCGGTGATCAGAAACAAATAGCGCACATTTTAAAACTCAAATATAAAAGACTGCTAACTCAAATTATATTTTATAGCATCATAAATTACTAATCAAGTGGGAAATAAGAGGGAAAAGAAATAATAAAATTAGGGATATTTTGAAATCATAACTTCCTGTACCAGTTTGCAGGAAATACTGTCTACATGGTAAACCAATTGAATTAAAGATAATTTTAAAACGTAAAAACGGTTAAAGGTATAAATCATGCTATAAAATAAAGCTAAACACGACTCCTAAATAGCCATAGGCATTTTTGTTATTACTTTCCACAATTTCAGTATCAGAGTCACAGACACTTGTCACGTATACGGGGCACCCCCTTCTCATTTTTACCACAGGTATCTAACTCCATCTCAGGCAACCCCGCTTCAAACTCGTATTTTGTTAATATATCAATCATTAACCTACTTTAATATAACATCGTTCGCTTAAAAAGACTTTTTTTTGTCAGTAAAATCGTTTTAAACATCTCTGGTACATTAACTATTAAGTATGTTTTCTTATAAATGTATCATCCTTGAATTAAATAGGATTACAATGGTTATAAAATTAATAACAGAGGATGTAGTGAATTGCAATTTTATTTAGGGAACTTATCATTGACCACACCTTCCCATGCAGAGACATCTTGTTTTAACATTATACTTCTACAGAGGTGTTAGACGTTGTGCATTGTGACACAAATCCATAGCAAATTAAAAGACAATAGTGATATACACAATAACTAATCTTTAAAATGATGATTTAACTATGCTGAATAGCTACATGTCTATAAGAATTGATAAAAAATGATGTGAGCTATTCCTTATCCGATTATTTTTTTCATGGGGAAAGCCGTCCGATTTTTTTCATCCCGTTATCTATGTGTGTTATCTTTATCTTGTATTAACTCTAAATGTAATTGATGACCGTCAAACTGAAACTAGATTTAAATGCATTGCGGAAATCAGGCGGAAAAGTCGACGTCATATTTAACGTCATAACGAAATCATTTTCTGAAACACTATTTCATGTTTGAGAATTCATGATTTGCTGACAAGGTTATAGCATCAACCATAGAATCTACTCAACGATGATTCTATCTTAGGTCGTCAAATTGCAATATAAGCGTCACTTCCAATATCAAACACATCTTTTGTCTGGTGCGGCACCAAAAACGTATGGCCGTCTCTTACATTCTTAAATGAACATTTTTCAGTTAGTAAAGTATCTTGATCATAAAATTAACTAATAACAATGAAACAATCACATTTCGCGTCGGACAAACTAAATCGGTATCAAACCTGAGCGATTAGTGTTTATTAGTCCGAATTAAATGCCATTTTCCAGGCTTCTAGCAATGACATGACGAAAACTGGTCGCCATCTCCAACAGTAGGCGGCATTCTAAGGTTGATTTTCGATACTTGCGAACCTAATTAAATGTCAAACTCAACTTATGAACAGTACAATACTTTAAGTACTCACCAAAATCCTTTTAAGGTTAATTAAATAATTATACAATTCGATGTTAATATTATATAGATTTTTCTCATTTGTGCATTTAAAAACCCTTGAAGTCTTCTATTGAAATGTTAAGTGGTGTTTCCTTTTCATCGACATCGGTGAGTACAAAAAGCATTGTGTTATCGAAAACTCATGAGCTTGGTATTAACATCGGTTCGCACATATCGATAATTTACTCTTGTGGAGAAAGGCGAAAATTCCAGTTTTCGTAATCCTGCGCCGGTTCTGACGTTTTCTTGGCATATAAAATATCAAACTCCAGAAGAGGCTTAAAAAACATCAGATATTTCGGACTTTGTGGTTATTCATATTTCTCGGCACAAATATTCAAGTTCTGGTGGATTAACATTTTTTTTCAAGCGAAATCCGTTATGACTTATCGCATTAAGAGGGAATAAAATAACTAGAGAAGAAACTGTTGAACATTAAAAAAGTGTATAATAAGCATGGAATGCAAATAATTTTCTTATTATTTCATTATTACGCTAACTATGTTTGTAAATTCAGGGTGAATAATGTTAGTCGATGCATAAAATATGGAGCGTGTTTGACAAATGTGAAGAAATTACAGTAACTTTATTTTTGACCTGTCATATTTTGGATAGAATATTATTGCTCATTTTTAATTTTTTCTTATTTTTAAAGGATAGAAAAATATAGTTTATAAATGACGATAAATCTGTAAATATTCCCATGGAAAATATTATAAAAACTGATAAAATTGGATATAAAGGCGCTTAAACTTGTGAATTACCTTGATGTTATTAAACTGGGAATCCGAACGACAATTTTTTATTTCTTAATCCTTAATCGTAAACTTTGTTAAATCAAGGATTTTTTGAGAAAGTACTCATATAATGTGACTCAAAATCGCAGAAAAAATAGGGGGTCAGTGTGTATTTTACTGATCTACTTTACAGTTAAGTTGACTTTTTTGCACTTAAATTTAAACTCTTTGGTAAATCACTTTAATCTTAATTATATTTTATCAGATATAACTATGGCAATAAATACCTTTTTATTTTACGTAAAATAGTTTGAATGATATTTATCATTGAACAAAACTTGCAATTTAATGCGCATAAATTATTGTGTGACTTTTCGCACCAAAAAAGTAATATATTTAGGGTATTATATTTTCCTAAATCAAGCTTTTTACAACTTTAGTGCTGATCATCACAAGTATCGAGTACATACTCAAAAAAAAAAAAAAAAGAAAGAAAGAAAGAATAGAGAGAAAGTTGGGGTCAGTGATGTTAATTTTGAAATATTGGTCAAAATATGTCATTTTCGGGTGAAGAAAAAAGTGTAAATTTTATCTTGAATTATTTGACATATCTTCATTCTTTGGCAAAGTTTGTTGAAGGAAAGGTGTAAAACTTTTTCTAAAAATATAAATTAAGACCTATATTAATTATTCTTAGCAATATCATAACGGAAAATATTCTCCGTGTAAAAGTAAGTGAGGCCAAAGTTCCAGGATATTCAATATAATTAATGTGCAGATTTGCAGAATAATCTGCTTAATATCCTTCCACCATAAGAAATAGTCCGTCATAAATATTGCTTCGATGTATCTTTTTGAGTAGTTTTTTCGTTAAATGTTTAAACATTAACATTGATGAATTAAAATATGTTATAAAAATTGTAATTAAATGAATAGTTTTGAAGTAAAAGGCTCTGCGTGAACTTTTCTAAAAAGTTGACGAGTGATATATTTTAAATGCATAAATAAGAAACTGTCTGTGTTTCGCTTGGTTGTTGTTTAAAGCAGACTCTTTACAACTTCGTAAGCGGGCGAGAAAAGTAGCAGTACAAGAGATTTGTATACATTTAATATGGTTAGAAAAAGCGAGAACATTTTATTACAAATTTGGATGTTAGTAAATAAACTAAGCGAAATGAATTTAAAAGATAAATTTCATTCGTCAGAGATAGTACAACATCAATGATATTATTGTTGAAGAAATTAATGCAAATACATTAAAGAAAATCATGCACATGTCGACATTCTTTTTACACGACGTTACCTGGGAATATCCACCAGATTCTCTGCCTACATCCTCATTATTTGGATCAAATTCAATGTTTTTTTCATTCTCGTCACTATTCTCATTCTCAATGTGCTGTTTCTCTGAGTTAGAGGCTTGTGCATGATTAATATATGTAATTCGTTTCACAATAGAATTCAACAAAACAGAAGTGATCGTACTTATTACACAAAGGAGCAAATGGCATCCAACGAATATTGTGAGGTATGGTACATCAGTGGAATTTCGTGGCATTGTTTGCTCGAATAAGGTTAAGAAGACGGTAAATGTCAGAAAAAGCGTCAGACTGTAGGTTAATCTCTCCCCGGAATTAACTGCTACAAAGAATGTAAGCGAATTCAAAACAGCATAAGTATAGGAATAAAAATAGTTAATACGATATAAAGGTATCCTCTTTTGAAATGAAACACATAGACTACTGTTGTCATATGAAATTCAAGGTTGTACTGTACTACATATGTAAATTTAGTAAAAATCCATTCACCATTTTTAGTGATTAGTTTCTGGACTTTGGAACAAGTTTTTTGACCCAGTCAGTTACTTGCCAAGCACTAACGATAAATTTACATTGCTGCTCATCAAATGGAAATCTCGAAACTTTGATGTCACATAAAAGTATGAATTTCCCGCCAGGATATCATGTCATGTGACCATTAGAACTCACTGTAACGTATGGATGTGGTTCCAATCCGTGGATACCATTTTCTGTATACCACATTGATATATCCGGAGTCCACACTTTTTGATATGGGATTGTAATCATTTCTAATCCGAGATTTTGAGTGCGATTCCAAGTGAGAAATTCGTCATACCACTGAACATCACACCAGCCGAAAAATGATATATATTGCATACGTTCTTCGACCTCCTGAACCGCCTCAATGGTAAAATAAAAATTGACATGTACCACATCACTTTGATTTTTCCTTGGTTTTATCATAGAGCTATAGTTTTCAAAAAGGTGATCCACAAAATTTTCAGAATCGGCATAACTTACAAAGATCCAAATCAAAAGCAAAGCAGTGAGATTCATTTTGATTGTCATAGTTGTACCTAACGTCTCCATAATGAAAATATTTAGAAAATATTACACGACTTCTTGAATCTGTTTGTACAGTTGTTTGCAATCAAAGCCAACTGTTTGAATCCCTAAAGAATTTTGAGCGTCAAGATATTTTGTTTAGAAATATTCCTATTAACAATTAGGATTTCCATTAATAAAATGTCAATAAACGGAGATATACTCAACATGATGAATTCAATGAGCATCATTCAATGTTACCTCAATTAAAAGGAACAAAGCAATCCATTACGAATTCTCTTTTGCATTGAATGTGAGTAATGGATATACGCCGAATACTGTTCTATATGTAAAATTATCAGACTGTTTGAGGCCCGTTAGGGCCGAAAACTGTCTGATAATTTTACATATAGAATAGTATGAGGCATATATCTTACTTAAAACATTGCCATTTAAATGTCCAAAAATTACCTGTAGGAGTTCGATAATAACACAATGGGAGTTTAGGCATCAATTGTATTTTACCCGTCTATTAAGTGGACAAAAGAAAAGAGACAGATAAAGAGTGGGTGAACTGTTGTTTCATTTCATTCATTCAATGGCAGTCGTTTAGATAAGCAGGACAGGGGTCCGTTGGGGAAGGATTTCCTTTTTATTTTGGAACATTTTTATTTATTTTGTGCATAAATTTTTTTGGCTGAAATTACCACCGTCACCATGGAAAGTAACATGCTAATTTTCATCCTGGAGTTTTAGTTTAAAGAATGGAAATTCTCAGCTTTTACAAGTGCAGCCATTTGGAAACAATCCTTATAAAAAAAATAAATTTGCTGATTTTTTCTCATAAATGGATTTAAATTCGATTATACAAAGTGCTGTATCAAAAACACTTAAAAGATGGGAATTATCAATTTTGAAGATGGTTTAAACTCGATTTTTTCATGGATTTTCTAGTTTGTAGCAACTTAATTTCCTTGCGATTGCTTTCCCTAATTTTTTTCCTTTTTTTGGAGAGGGGGGGGGGGGTGGTCGGGGATTGGTGGAAATAATTAACTTATTCCACTCTTCTTTTTGTTTTTAAATACCGTCCGATTTTGTTATCATTGCCGTCTGATAATATATTATCAGACCGGTAATTATCATTATCGGACGGATACAGGTAAATTTTTAGACTGCAAGAACAAAGGCATGACGTCACAGCAATGTTTTAAGTAAACTTAACTGGTCAATTTACGCTTGTATGGAACAAAAAATACGTTATTGCAAAATATTTACGTTGTTTATATGTCATTTCTGAAATAACGTGTTGATTTCCTTTTACAGTAGAGTGTGTTAAGTGATTTTATTTCAAAAGTTCAATTAAAACAAAATCAGAGAAATATAAATGAAAACTCATAAATAATAATTATTCTTTAATTTTCAGCAATGAAGGCAATCAATATATACATTAGAAATTCTGTATCATTAATCTATACATTTTGCATTGATTTTTGTCTATTTTGTCAATGGAAGTTAGAATTGTAGAAAGGATTTACTATTATACTAACGGAGTTTTATGAAGAGACTTACTTTTACATTTGACGGCTGACTTTTACATTTTAGTGATAGGAGTTTGTCTCTGTTTAAACTGTAAAAGTCAGTCGTCGATTGTAAAAGTAAGTCTCTTCATAAAACTCCAGTAGTCGATCACTGAGTACACTACTATGTAGACAAGAGAAAAAATCTGGATTAAAAAACTTGGGACCTCCTTTCTCTATGGACGTAGTGTAACAATGTAAATGTAATGGGACTTTTTAATCAGGGACGTAAGTGTAGTTATGTGTTTCGGTCTTCCGATAAAGCTTTTATACACGATGTCTCTTTTGATTCATGACTACTTTGTTTAACAACAGTTAGGTCCTAATCACACCCTTACCAAACTTTACTTTGTCCGGATCCCTTTTAAATAGACTACTTGAAAACAGGATCTGTTATAGATACTGCAAACCATGGGCTTTTAAACTGCTACGTTTTACAAAAGAAAAAGCAGCTAAAACAATCCGTTTTTTCCTTAAACTACAATATGCCAGCAAAGGAATAATTACATGTATTATATAATTGAACAATAATTGTTCACATTGTTTATGTGACGGAAGAATGCTAGAATAATTTTATTTCATGGTTATTTAATAAATTGCTAGGTTTAATTTGAAGGCTTGTGGAATGCTCCTTTATAGTATGGTAATTATTTACTTTATCAATAAAAAAAAACTTGAATCTTGTGTAATGAAAAGGTTATATATAAAGGTTTATAGTGATAATACATAAAAACTTTGAGTATATAATTTTACATAATTTTAAATAATTTTACAGCATCAATGCATTAAATAGGCCCAGCTTTTTTTTTGAAAAACCTGTATTTAATTATGCAAGGGATAAAATTATATCCTGTATTCCTTTTTAATTACGTTAATTAGAAAACAATTAGACTACTTTTGTGTAAATTTACAGGCCCTGAAGACATTAAATAATTGTAATGATCTATTTTTCTTAAACATTTGTAAGAAGTCCTTGCTTTTGTTAACAATTTAAACACCTGTCTGCTAAAATTAATCAAAGCAACTACAAGGAGTCCACAAAGTCAGAATACACAAAGAGCACAGATATCATGTTACTCAGAACCTTTTTCACACATGGTTAAACAAAGCAGTCCCAGATACTGCTGGAAGTGTTTCGTCTGCTTTATAAAGTAGTATAACAGAGCCAAGAGCAATTCAACAACCGTTTTAGAGCAGTCCCACAGCGGTCCCAAAGCAGTCCCACGGACTGCTTGGTTGTCAGGTGGGGTCTGGGTGATACTGTAAAACACGTTGTGTGTTTAACAAATGTGAAAAAACTCACATATCTGATTTAAAATATTTTCTATTTGTCCTGTCATATTTTGGAAAGAATTCGAACATAATTGCTTATATTTACTTTATTCATAATTTTAAGGATACAAAAATATAACTTGTATAAATGACTGTCCCGTAGGCAAATATGATTAAAACTGGCTAAAACGGATACATGTATATACAGCTCTGTACAATTTTAATCTTAATGGTTTTTCGCGCAAATTAACGTCACATTGATATAATGCGAAATTCTGTAACGAAGCAACAAAATATATTTTATAAGTGATTTATAATTTAATTCCACTAACTTTTAACATAGTTCACACATATTATTGGTAGGATTTTGACGCATTCTTGGCTGATAAATAATGGCAGATCCCAGTGGGTATTTTTTTTCATGCGTTCTTTTCTAATGCAACACCTTTATATCCATTCTTTTTAAAGCAGCCCTTTACGTTGTCTAAACATAGAAACACTAGACACTAGACACAGTGCAGTTTCATGTAACCTCTGTATTTTCTGTATATAAAAAAGGACTTTAATGTGCAAGATGATAACAATATATCTCATTTGTCTTACAGCTTTCCATATTAAAAAACTGGCATTTTCAGGGTTACTTTCGGAACTCTAGTATATGTATCATGAAAGATACTTCTAACCCTATAATTTCAGTTTAAGTTTTAGTTTAAGACCGTAAATGTAAAAAGAATCTTTTCAAATAGTAATAATTTCCTTTTTTAAAAGATAAACAGTATTTTATTATCCTATCCGTTTATATGATTTCCTTATGCAGCATTGTCATTTTTCGGCTCTACATGTAGACAAAAACAAGACGAGTATCGAAAATGTGCAAAGTACTTTTTAAAATACTCATCTTTTAGAAGTCAATTTAAAAATTTCAACTTAACTGTATGAAAGAAAGCTCGAATAATTTAATTTGTAAATTGCTATGGTAGAATCATACAGATGTAACATCATTCCATTTGTTGATAGAGTATACAGTTAAATTATATCATTAAGGGAGTTAGCATGATTCCAGTTCTCCAAGGCTTGGAGTATTTCTCGAGGCGGAGCTGAGGGAAATAGGTCTGGTTGAGAGGAACTGGAATCTTTACAACTCCCTCAATGATGTACTTTTTAATTGTTTTATTATACCTATAAAGAAATAACGAATGGCGGGGAATTACCTTCTGGGGCGGGATTAGCTCACTTGATTCAGTAAGAATGATACCGATGCAAAAGAAAAATCTGGAAGATTACGAATAACTGGTAATTAGCTTCCACAGCTGGCATTGGCTCATTGGACTAACACACGGGGATTAGTCCACTCACTGTGGTTTGTAGGGAATTATTGACATTTTACTACATAATTATTCTTATAAAAGAAAAATCAATAGAGGTGTAATAATCACCTTTATTAACATCTACTGAATTTTTTCCTATATTAAAGTAAGACAGTAAAATGCGAATAATTGCCTAGAAATCTCAGTGAATGGACTTATTCCCCGTGCGTTAGTTAAACAAGCTAATCCCTGCTTTGGAAGCTTATTCCCCGGTTATCTGTAATCCTCTAGATTTTACTTTTGTATCGGTCTAATATGTTAATGGACTAAGTCCCCGTGCGTTAGTCTTGAAAATAATTCCCCGCCATTCGTTATTCTCTATCTGTATCGGTATAATAAAACAGTTAACAAGTATATCATTGAGGGAGTTCGCAAAATTCCAGTTCCCCGCGACCAGAACTAATTCCTTCGACGCTCTGCGCCTCAGGAAATAGTCCTGGTCTTGGGGAACTGGAATCTTGCCAATTTCCTCAATGATATTCTTTAACTGTATATTAAAACATAGACTTTTAAAAGAGTTCCTTAAGTTATTAATTATTGATAATATGTACCCTTCACAAGATATTAAATACATATTGAGGTTATACCTCGTACTGAAGTTCAAAAATGCTCCGTTTTCTTGCAGAGTGATTTAAATTCAAGACACGTAGTTTAGATTGACCCATTCAAATGTTATAGGGCAGAACAGGTTTTATAAATGAAATTGGCAGTAAACAGAAATTTGCTAAAGTTTGTTTCTTTTGAAAACGTCCAGTGTAAAATGTAATAACAATATACTTTATCTTTGCTTTTTGGATAATTTACGCTGAAAATTGGAGCTCACAGTTGTTTCCAAATTAGCTCGATAAGCTTGTAAAAATGTGTAATATCATCTACATTGACAAATCTTTGTTTGCCTTATAAGGCTATTGTAATTTATGCGCACAGCGGATCTTGCGAGCCATTAACCAATCGTTGAATGAATAGCAACGTTTACACCAAATACATATTTACATTTTACTTCGAACACGTTGTTTAGGTCATCATTGATCAATATTAATGGAGAAATAAATAAAAAGAAAATGTTCTGATGGAAAGAAAAAAAGATCAGAAATATGAAAGATATCACGGGCCATTTTGATTTGTTGTGCTTCAGGGGTATGGAAAACGAGCAGCATTTAGATATATCTAAGTGGACAAAACATATTTTTACATAAGAATACTCGTGATGAAGTGTTGTTGGCCACAAAATCCACCTGAAAATTGTATTTACCGATAGTACAATGTGTTCAAAGGAATTCATACAGGCGCAAATCGCTTGCAGTATGGCATTGAGCAACAAGAAATCCAAGAATATAGAACAAATGAATTATTTGAAGCTGTGAGTATGGAAATAATAGAATAAGCATTGCTTTTTAATTGCGAAATGGACAGGGAAAATATTCTTTTTGCCTTTCCGCTCGTCAGAAGAGTTTTTTTTTTCAGCGTAAAATTCCTGTAACTCATAATGCAATTCTCATTCAGTTGATTTGTCAGTTAAAGCATTAGTGCCTCATTTCCTAATCTTACGCAAAAAATATATTCTCGATTCCCATATATATATTTGTCCTTGAAAAAATTTTAATTCATGACTGAAGAAAATCATATCATAGAGAGATTCTTTTAAAAAAATTTGAAGGAATTCAAGATAACTTGAAGTACATTTGTACAGAGTGGTGAAAATTGAAACGCAACATATATATTTTTTTTAAATTACAATGTATCCGCGTGCTTGTCACTTCCTAGCCATAGTTTCATAAATAATTAGTCTTATCTCGCTGTATTCTTGCTAACTCTGGCCAGATCTAAAGCTACTGCCAGACCTACTTAAAACTCCTCGGATTTTATAATTTGCAGAACACCGCAAAAGAAGAGGTTCAGAATACATTAGTAGGGGTGAATTGCGCCGAGCTGTACACTGGTTAACTGGTAATCACCTTGATATTGTTAAATTGAAAATCTGAATGACAATTTCTTTAAAACATGTTCTCTTGTTTGTTTCTTAAATTCATCATTATGAAACTATCTGTTTTTGTTTGTTTATTTGTTAAGGAACATCCCTCTTCAGAACTTTTCACTGATACTCGGCACTAAGGCCCCTTGAGCAGCAAGGTATCTTTTTCTTGTCAGCATTTACGGCAGCACATGACCTGGTTTTATACAGTCTCATCTGAAGGACCTGTCCCCAAGTACAACAGTGGGATTCGGACCCGAAACGAAAGGATCAACTCCTTATTTTGTTACTTTAGAGCAGACTCTCTAAACCACTTTGTAAGGTATTTGATTATATTAGATATGTTTCGAAAAAACACCTACATTTTATCATCAATTTAAATTAAAAAAGATAAACAAAGCAACGTATGAATTATGGATTTTTAATGACATTAGAAGAAGATGACTAATTACATTAATCATATATAATAGAAAATGAATAAAGTTACCGTTGAAGAAATTAACGCGATTATATTAAACAAAATCACGCACATGTCAACTTTCCTTTTACATGACGTTATCTGGGAACCACAAGATGCTCTGCTTCTATGTGTATCATTTGCTTCAAATTCGAGGGATTTATCATTCTCATCAATCTTTTCATTCCCAATGTGTTGCTCCCTTGTTTGTTTCTCGGATTTTCGGGATTGGTCATAATTAACGCTTGGTTTAATGATAGGTTTCAACAAAACAGAAATGATCGTACTTAAAACACAAAGGACCAAATGAAATCCAACGAATATTGTGAGATATGGTACATCCGTAGAATTTCGTGGCATCGTTTGCTCAAATAAGGTTAAGAAGACAGTAAACGTCAGAAAAAGCGTCAGACTATAGGTTATTCTTTCCCCGGAATCAACTGGTACAAAGAAAGTTAGCGAATTCAAAACAGCCAGAATGACTATGGGAACAAAAATTGTCAGAACGATATATAGGTATCTTCTTTTAAAATGAAGGACGTAACCCACAGTTGTCAAATGAAATTCGGGGAAGTACTCTATAGTGTAGGTAAATTTAATAAATATCCATTCACCATTTTCAGTGATAAGTTTTGAATCATCACTTGTTCTTGATTTTGGGACAAGTTTTTGGACCCAGTCATTTACTTGCCAAGCGCTAACAATTATTTTACACCGCTGCTCATCAAATGGGAATCTCGAAACTTTGATGTCACATGAAAGTATCATTTTCCCGCCAGGATACCAAGTCACGTGACCATCAGAATTCACTGTAACGTATGGGTGTGGTTCCAACCCATGAATTCCTTTTTCAGTATACCACATTGATATATCTGGAGTCCAAAGTTTTTGATAAGGTACTGCAATTGTTTCTAATCCGGAATTCTGAGTGCGATTCCAAGTTAGAAATTCGTCATACCACTGAACATTGAACCAACCGAAAAATGATATATACTGCATACGTTCATCAACTTCCTGAACCGCATTGATGGTAAAATAGAAATTGACATGTACCACGTCACTTTGGTTTTTTAGTGGTTTTATCATAGAGCTATAGTTTTCAAAAAGGTGATCCACAAAATTCTCAGAAACGGCAAAACTTACTAATATCCACATGAAAAGCAAGGCGCGGAGATTCATTTTGATTGCCATTCTTTTCCCTAATGCCTCAATAATGGTGTTATTTACGAAACATTGAAGGATAGCTTGAATCTGTTTGCAGTATTTTGATCGACAAAACGATCTTTTCAAATTCCAAAGTAATTATAAGCATCAACATAAATTTTTGGAAATATACCTGCGATCGAGCGATTGGGATTTCCATTTCGAAATGTCAATACACGGATACATATTTGACTTGATGCATTCTTTGGACACCGCTGTATTAATTACTTAAACAAAGAAAACCTTTACGAATTATTTATTTTGCCGTGACTGTAAGTAACGTTCAACTAGTCGAATGACGCTTGTGTTGAGTAAAATGTTATTATTGCGAAATAGTTGCATTGTTTAATAGCCCTTTGGGAAATAGCGTGATAATTTCATTTTACAGAAGAGTCGGTTAATTACGTGATATTATTTCAAAAGTTCAAATGAAAAAGAAAATCTGCGAAATGTAATTGAAAACTCATTAATAATTACAATCCTTTAATTTTCTATGTTAGCTGACAATCATAAAAGAAGACAATCAATAGAAAAGTGTTATATCATTAACCTTTTCCTCTTGCAAAAATTAATCATAAAAGAATATTTCTTTGGTTTAATGATCTTGTAAAAATTGAGAAATTTTTGAATTTTTAAAACAATATGAAGATTGTTCAATTTAACGAGGCCGAGTCTAATTCGAGTGCGCATCAATTTGCGCAGCTTTATAATTTCATGCAGTCATTTTTGTGACAGTTCACCTTTGAAAATTATTTTAATACAAAATTAACATTATTTGTAACTCCTGCTGATCTGAAAATGTGATTTTACGACAATAATTGGAAAAAGAACGTTGAAATGGCTCTAACGACGTCACCATTTTCGGATTTTGTAAGCAATGCATGACGCTGAGTGAAGAATGACGCATGACTCGTTTGTATGTTCAAGACGTCCATGGATATTATACTAAAAACTGATGACATAACTTCCCAAGAAACATATTAAATATTGCTATTTTTGCCGAATGAAATTGTAAGCTCCGAAAATTCATCTGCAAAGATATGAATTTGTACCGTAATATGTAAATTTTAGTGGTAATTGGCTTCGAAAAAATAAACTTAGTAATTACATGTACTACCTAGACCAATCGAGATGGTGAACTTTTTTGAAATTTCACAGTTTGGTGACTTTTTACATTAACTTTCATTTACTTGAATGAAAAAGAAATCCCTAGGGCAGAAGTACAAAAAATATGGAAAAAATGTCATAATTTGGCGATTTTCAAACAAATTCCCATAGGGCCCAATAGTAAAGTTTGACAACATTTGAGATGGCCCCCTAAGAAATTGGGGTGGTAAACATTCGATTTTTTAATCCTAAAATAATAAATATAACAGTAAAAATTAATTATTAAAAAATTATCTAAATCCCTAGGGCAGAAATAATTAGACTCGGCCTCGTTAAATAGGTCTTTTATTCAGCTTAATTCCACAATTCAACATTCGTAGATAAATGTAAAAAAAGAACCCTGACTTATGAGAGTATATGCCACTTTTGGATCTTGAAATTAAATATCAATATTGATTCAGATTGAACAAAAAATATCCTTTGTGAGAATAATAATTCTAAGTATATTACATTTATTTTTGATCCGTTCTCTGTTTATCCAGTTAAAGAGCTCTTCTACAAAAGTTTTTAACTTTAATATCAATACAATTTAAATATTTTTTGTCCATATTCTACATATCTGTTTTCAATTAAGATATTTCGTGATTGCAGTCAGGCTCATGTAATTACTAGGAGCATTTTTTTCGTTACATAAACAATGAACTTGATCATTTTATTAATCATTTTTGAAAAAAAATATGATAAAAAGTAAAATATTTGTTTTCAGAAAGAAACTAATTTGCAATGTTCATATAAAATACATGTTGTATTTTCATAATAATCAATTTCACAGGTTTTTAATTTAATTTTAAAATTAATGAAATGAATTAACTTCTATTTAACTTTTTATTATGCATCATTCTCCTCCAACAATAGAAATATTGATTTTATCAGGTGAAGTATTTGTATGTTACAAAATTGGGTGTCTTAATAAAAATGGGTTCAAACTCTTATAATATGTTGATCATGACGTATCATGCTCATCTACGTGTGTCCTCTTCAACATTACAATCGGCAAATACATCGTAAACACTAAATCGTTCCTACCATACTTTGAAGGACTTAGCAAAAGGCAAAAAACGTTGTAAGTTTTGATGTAGTTTAAAAATAGCAAATCCTGTCATTTTGACATTTTTAAAGACTGTTAAGAAAAAATAAAACAAACGTTTTTATTTCAGAAATCAAAAATTTTCTCAAAGATTTATATTTAAAAGGGTACTCTGAATAATGTTTGCCAGATAAGATGGAATAATTTTATAAGACTTTCACAAAGATTTCCACAAATGTTAAAAAGGGGTGCAAAGATAATAAAGAATTACGTTGTAGAAGACACAAAATCACATATTTATGCACTGCAGAAAACCGACGATTTCTAAAGATTTGAGATATTTATTTTTTATTAATTCTTATTCAAAATCAATCAAAAATATTCATCAATCCATGCACATTTTTTTGTTCGTGATATTTTGTGTCCTAAACTTATATGGTCATAGATATAATTTGCTGTATGGATTAAACTACACTTACTTTTTGTGTTTCAATTGCCTTCATGGGTATCATATGTAAAATATGTTATCAGTTTTTGTTGATTATTAGATTCAGTTCAGGGGTCCTGGTCTAGACTACGATTAATGATTTTAACGTTGATTTATCATTAAAAATCACCTAGGATAATTACGGAATTGATCAATCCAACTCATTTTGTATAAAGTATGACCAACCGTGATAGTTGGGGCTGCTACAGACAATTAAACATTGAAAGAGGAATGCAGAGGAGAGCTTCGTTAAAAAAAATACTCTTCTGAAGAATATCAAAGATATAATAATGGTATTGGAGATCTCAGGGTTTTTTTTCAGCAGGACTATCTTTTGAATAAAGTTTATTTACCCTCTTCTGGCTCAGGATAAAAGGAAGAAAAAATATAAACATGAACACTGAATTTAAAAATATTTTAAAACAAAATTAAAAAATACAGGTGGATGATAAATATAACGAACAGTATTCAATATCAAAGTCCATAAAAACAATACAAAATAGGAGCAAAGCAAAAAGAGACCTAAAAAACATCACGGTTGTGATCAGGTGGATAAAAGGTCTCATGACAGTAAATATACATGCCATATATTTGTCACAAAATCGTAATTGTCTTCTCTTGGCAGAGGGCGTGACCCTTTTTAATTAAAAACATTAATCCTTTACCAAATGATACTTTGTGGCACAATTGGTTAAAATTTTCCTAAAGTTCTTGAAAAGAAGATGAAAATATGAAGTTGACATGAAAAAAAAGACAACGGCGACAGACAGCAGACAAATGTCGATCAGAGAAGGGCTCACTTGAGCCTTATGCTGAGGTAAAAAGTTATTTGCAATATTAACGAATGGTCTTTGTCGAATAAGAAATAAACAGACAAACAGAAAGACAGAGAGATAAACGAACAGGCAGGCCAAAAACTATATACACCCGAATCTTATTTCTTTTTTTTTAAATTAAAGCAATCAAACCTCAAACTTAAATAAAAACAAATATGTTTCTTGTATTTAATAAGCAAAGACAAAAACATTTTTCTCAAAAGAACGATCGATAAAACATTGACACGAAATTATTACAATTTGATATTAATGTCGAACAGGAATGAATCATATTCCAAATGATAAGATTCAGATTAAAATAAATTACATAAGGAGACGTCTTCATAAGGTTTTGAAATTTAACATATATTAAAAATCATAACAGCCTCATATTTCTAAAAAAATCAGAATCTCATTTCTAAATTTTACAAATTACACATATATTTGAATCTTTTGTTTTTTTTTTTAAATCGATTTACTCGATACACAACATTTCGATGTAGCATAACTACCATCCCTCCAAATAAGATCTAAAATTATAAATCAGTTACAAAAGTCTTTCATTTCACTAAAAAAGTATATCTTTGTAATACTCCAATACCCTAAATTAAGAATCCTTATCTTAAATGCATTTTTGATCAAGGGAGGCAAACGAGTTTCATTAAATTGTGTAAATACTTTTTTATGTATAAGGGGTGATCATGAACTATCTCTATATTTACCAAACCATAATTCAGATCAGATTAAAATGCATACATATAGTCACAAATGTTTTTTAACTAGCATATGTGAAATACTGTTTTGCTCCTTGTTTATGACGTCCCAATGTGAAAATGACGTCAATATTAATAAATTGTCATATTCGAGCAAGAAACTGTTGTATTATTAAAAGTACATCTTTGAAATTCCTTTGCAGTGGCATATATTAATTTAATTTTTTGTACATGTTAACAAAATCGCGAAGAACTTGCTAGAACTTAATCTTTCATTGGATAAATTTTAGTGAAGGTAGGGAGGTTTAATATGCTTGACAAAGTCAATGTAATGTACCTAAGTTTTTGTTTTTTTTGTTTTTCATCATCCCAAGTTACTTCCAAAATTTAGACAAATAATCAGGATTAATGACATGGTGATCCTCCACTTGGTGAAGAGGACAGTTCATTTCACAGCCTGTCCTCAGCCTGCTCTCTTCTATAAAATTATCATCAATCTTTATTGGAATGAGCTGATTCTGTTCTTCAGTGCAAGTAAATCCAGTTTTGTAGGCAAGATGTTTGTTAAAAGTTTTAGTTATATCTTTCAAAATTTCGGCAATTTTTTCCTGATTGCAAGAGAAGTATTACTTTCCAACTATCCGTTTTGTGCTGAATGAAGAAGTTGTAGTTGGATTGAAGTGTAAGTAACAGCAAGTACGGCATAGTGTTTTTTTGAAATCAAATATCGCAGCATTTTTGCACAAACGTTTCGTTTCTTGACTTCTAGGGACTTCCAA